TATCTGTCTCAAAAAAATGATAAAAATATCATATGAGTACAGTGTTGCATGACCGCGCAATTGTCATCAAAGTGTGACAGTGCTGAAAGCTGGAAATTGGCTTGGGCAGGAAGGGGGTATAAGTGTCCTGTAGGCTATTGGTTAAACGTTTATTTGCATATGTTTATTAGTAGAAAATATTTTTTTTTTCATAATTGTCTTTTGTTTATAACGCAAAAAGTAAGAGCCGCAGAAGTGAATAAATGCCACCAAAAGAAAACTTTGTGGGAGAAAAGGACATAAAGTTTATTTTGGGTGAAGTATTGCATGACCGCGCAATTGTCAGTTAAAGTGACACAGTGCCTTATCACAAAAAAAATGGTCTAGTCAGGAAAAGGGGATAAATTTTCAGCAGGGCTTGTTAAACGTTTTGGTTTCTTTATTTTCTAATTTACTTTTTTTTTGTGAATGAGTAGGGATCAGGGGCAGACTGACAACTCATGGGGCCCCCGGGCAATAGGGGATCATGGGGCCCCTGTGTCCTTGCCCAAACTCAAAAAAGCCTACGAAAAAGGTACCAGGGGCATCCCATGGGGCCCCCTACTGACCCCGGGCCCTCGGGCAGTGTCCGAGTTTCTAACTGGTCAGTCTGCCCCTGGTAGGGGTACTACATGTTGGGGTCGGGGGGTTGTATCCGCAGGATCTGCAGGTCTACTTTCAGATTCCAATACACTGCCCCCAGCACTGGCCCGGTTTGTGGGGAAGAGGCCCTTATCACCATGAGGGCAACATGGGTGCTTTGCCAAGGTGGGTCCCATCTAGCAAGGCACCCCCTCCCATGTTGAGGACATGTGGCCTGGACGCTCACCCCCTCACTTTCCTGGCTAGCCAAGCTGCATGCTCATTTAAGGATCTGGTATGGCTTTTTCAGGCAAGAAAAAACACATTAACGCAACGTGCAGATGTGAACAGCCATGCAGGAAAACGTACGACCATCTGTCTGCCAACTGAAGCTCCGCAGAGGATGGGTGATGCAACAGGACAATGACCCAAAGCATACAAGTAATTCAACAAACAATGGCTGGAACAGCACAGAATAGGCCTTCTGGTGTGGCCCAGTCAGAGTCCTGACCTCAACCCGATTGAAATACTGTGGCATGACCTTAAGAGAGCGATTCACACCAGACATCCCAAGAATATTGCTACACTGAAACAGTTTTGTGAAGAGGAGTGGTCCAAAATTACTCCAGATCAATGTGCAGGTCTGATCTGCAACTACAGGAAACGTTTGGTTGAGGTTATTGCTGCCAAAGGAGGGTCAACCAGTTATTAAGTTCAAAGGTTCACATACTTTTTCCTCCCTGCACTGTGAATGTTTACATGTTATGTGCAATTAAACCATGGCAACATCTAATGTTTGTGTAGTATTATGTTCAGCAGACTGTGTTCTTCTATTGTTGTGACTTAGATGCCGTTCAGAGCGCATTTTATGCCCAATTCATGCAAAACTCCACGTAATCCCAAGGGGTTCACATACTTTTTCTTGCAACTGTACATGGCTGATGCACAGTGCACTAGGTATTGCTGCCCATCACTCATCTTCAGAGGTTATCACAAGAACTTCAAGATTCCCCCAGTGTGGACAATGGTAGCAACTGTAAACAACACAATGTGCATGCTAATATTTAATCCCTTTCCCTCCAGAGGATATACCCCGCTTTCTGACCAGACCATTTTTAGCGGTATGGCGCTGCGATACTTTAACTGACAATTGCGCAGCCATGCAACGCTGTACATATATGAAATGTACCGGTATGTCCTTTCTTTCCCACAAATAGAGCTTTCGTTCGGTGGTATTTGATCACCTCTGCGGTTTTTTATTTTTTGCGCTATAAACAAAAGAAGACTGACAATTTTGACAAAAACAATATTTTTGACTTTTTTCTATAAAACATATCCAGTAAAAAAAATCTAATTTCTTCATAAATTTAGGCCAAAATGTATTCTGCTTTGTGTCTTTGCTAAAAAAAAAATCAACAAACGTATAAATTAATTGGTTTACATGAAAGTTATAGCGTCTACAAATGGCAGTATAGATACTGGGATTTCTATTTTTTTTAGTACTAGTAATGGCGGCAATCAGCGACTTATAGCAGGACTGCGGTGGGCATTCTGACAACTCATGGGGCCCCCGGGCAATAGGGGATCATTGGGCCCCTGTGTCCTTGCCCAAACTCAAAAAAGCTTATGAAAAAGGTACCAGGGGCATCGCATGGGGCCCCCTACCGACCTGGGGCCTCGGGCGGTGCCCGAGTTTCCAAATGGTCAGTCCGCCCCTGATTCTGTCACTGGGTGGGAACTAACTGCCACTGACATCCCCAGTCACACCAATACAGTGATCAGGGCTAATAAAAAGCACTGACACTGTATTAATGACACTGGGTGATCAAAGGGTTAACTGTGCTGTATGCTGTTTTACATTATCTACTGTGTGTGCTTTACTAGGGAGACATGCTGTGCAGAGAAATACAAAGCAGCATGTCCTTGCTGGCAGGAGAGAGACCTGAGTTGTTTACACACAGGTATCTCCCCTGTCAGCTTTCCACGGCGATCGCTCGGTGCCGATGGGGAATCTCCGGATGGGACCCAAAGATTGACATCCATAGCCGCCAATACTGGTGCAGGTAGGGTGGCACGTGCATGCTTCCTACCCGCAAAATGGAAATCATGTATATATACGTAATTTTGCACAGCCCTGCTGCCCTGTAGCAGTAGTTCTACTATAGGGCGGTGGGCAAGCGGTTAAAGTACATTCTATACATGAAGGTAAAAAAACCTTCTGTGTGCTGCGGCCCCACCAATCCTTACCTAAGCCCCCTCTGAACCAAAGATGTTCACAATAGCCTCAGCTGTCTGGGGACTATCCCTTCTCATTGGCTGAGACAGCAGCAAGAGCCCATTGCAGCCAGCCAGTGAGCCATAGTGGAGAGAGCAAGCCGGTAGGGCTGAACCGTGACTCTGTGTGTCTTATGGACTCATAGAGCAGCGGCTCAACAGCGAGCACACAGCGGTGCCCCCAGGGCAAGCCGCTTTCCCTGGGGGCACTGCTCCAGGGACAGCAGCCAAGAGTGCTGGCAGGGGACTTGAAAAGAAAAGGACCAGGGTAGCTGTGTGCAAAACTACTTCACAGAGCAGGTAAGTATGACATGTTTGTTATTTTATAGAAAAAGGAAAAAAAAGCTTTAGTATCACATTAAGCATCCTTCATCCATATATTACAGGCTTGTGGGAAACCTTACTCCTGACACCTCTGGTCAGTACACTCAGCTCTCAAGTAGACTGGCACACAGGATTCACAGACCACACACACTGATCTCACTAGAAGTTACAGATTATCTAAGCAAAGTAATATTACTTCTATAGTTGGGACAAACACCCAATCACAGTCTCTTACCACCAACCACCAAAAGAGGAAACTCACCCAAAATCTAGCTGGTTGGACACATGGAGGCAAATGTAAATGTTGCATCCAATCTGATGTACTCTGTTGGTTGTGTGTGGCAGCCTCTAGCCTGGGTGATTTCCCGTTCCTCAGATGATTGTTTAGTAGCTTAAGTGATTTCTCAATTCCTGGAAATGAATTGTGTTTGGTAGCTTAGTCATTTCCTCATTCCTCTGAGATTTCCAATGCTATTCTATGAGCTAGAATCACACACAGACACACACTGGGGTTGATTTACTAAAACTGGAGAGTCCAAAATCTGGTGCAGCCATGCATGGTAGCCAATCAGCTTCTAACTTCGTAGAAACAAACAGCTTCCAGGTCTTTAAACTTTGACAAATCTGGAAGCTGATTGTTTTTTATGCACAGCTGCATCAGTTTTAATAAACTGTCTGGCAATGAGATCTGTCACTGCCTACAACAACTTCTGTACGCTGATGCTAATCTGCATGCAATCAGATTGACCATCTTGTTCTCTGTCACCCAACTGCTGCAATATAGAGAACAAAAGAGCACAGCCACCCAATGCAATCCCGCACAACAACAACCATGTGTAACTGAGCTGAGAGGCACTGATGGTACAATACAACTGTACACTCAACAATAACACACCAGTCTCTTCAGATTCATTAGAGCAGCCATTTTCAGTCTTTTTTAATATGGAGGAACCCTTGAAATACCATACCAGCCTCAGGGAACCCCTGCTAAGAATTATCGTATTTACAGCTCATGGTACATTAATGGGATGAACAGGGGTGGACTGACAATTCATGGGGCCCCCGGGCAATAGGAAATCATGGGGCCCCTGTGTTCTCGCCCACACTCAAAACCACACCCAAAAAAGCCTATGAAAGTTATCAGAAGCATCTCATTGGGCCACCTATTGACCCAGTGCCCGAGTGCCTAAATGGTCAGTCTGCCCCTGGGATGAACACTGGGAAGAATGCTCCTTAAATTTGTAATACAATTCTCCTCTTATAAATAGCTAAAAGATCATTGGCTTCGTTGGTTACCTATTTGACAGGGAGAAATTGTCTTTTTTTCAAGGCACCCCTAACAACCTCCAGAAAAATCTCAGGGTTCCCCAGAACCCTGGCTGAGAATGGACGCTTTAGAGCACGCAAAACCATTTTATTACTTTTATATGTAATACCCCAATATGAGCACTTACAAAAAGTTACAAAACCAGAAGTTAAAGTGAGACATAAAAATGCAAACAGTAATAAAAACCAAAGGGATAACTTTAAAAAAAAACACTTCTCTTGCTTCTGGGGTTGGGACAATACCCCAGCACATCGGTGGGACCCCTAAGATATGATCAGGAATTGATTTCAGATCTCCTCTGGGTTACATTCCATGCAAAGTTCTCTGAGAACTATATTTTTCCCCAACTAAAGTAGGTTGATCATACAAAATAATAAAGTGGACGAAAAAAATGTATTTATTATTTTTATTTATTATAAGACTTTCAGCATTTAGCTAAATGATATTCCACATCAGTTGACTTCCAGTTCACGTTTTAACATATTCCAGTAATTTTACATTGTAATTTATCTATCACATTCACAGCCATATTCTTGACAGCACCCTTCATCTTATCCATGAATCCTCTTTTTACTTCCTCCTCTATAACATCCCCTTCACCTTCATCGGAATCTCTCCTGGGAGAAGAAATAGTTATTGTTACATAAAACAACATTGATTATTACACAAAAATCTGTGTATTTAGAGCACATTGACTACTACTCTATGAACACATTAACATCTTAAAGGAATACTACACGGGGGGGATGCCACAAACATGAATCAGTAAGTGGACACAACTAAAGCTGGCCATACAACAGTAGAATTTCGTTCTTGTGGAAAATCATTCACTAGGACATTTGATCTTGCCATCATTCAGTCAAATCATTTGAAAAACCTCCACATTTTTTTCCAGAACTACTACTTGGAAAGAATCACAGATGTACAAAGGGGCATTGAAGTCAAACTGGGGCTTTTGAGTTTATATAATAAAAGAACAAATTTCAGGGAGTGGAAATGGCATTTATTTTTCAACATATTCCCCTGCTATATACATATATATTATCCCAGCGTTTAATTGGGAAACTTCGGCATAGAAAGATTTTTCAGTACGCCTGACCCATCCTAGGACAGACGGTTTCACTTACAATTTACATACAATTGTCTTGACTCTTTGATTTGTTTTTGGTCTGGTGGTCCTTTCCGTATTGTAATGTTTTGATGTTCTAATACCAGGGCTGTCTTAATAGCATCATGGGCCCCTGGTCAAAGTAATGCATTGGGGCCCCTACCAGCCTGTCCCGATTTACGCACATACATTGAAGAATTAAAGTATAAATAGTTGATTAGTACTTGAGTACTTTCAATAAAATTGATTTTAAACAATAAGAAAACATGCTATAAACCAAACAGTAATTAACACGGGGGGAGGCAGAAGGGCACAATACAGGGGGGGTCAGGAGGGCACAATGCTGGGATCAGGAGGGAACAATACAGGGGAGGGGTCAGTAGGACACAATTCTGGGATCAGGAGGGAACAATACTGGGATCAGGAGTGAACAATACGGGGGGGGAGTCAGGAGGGCACAATGCTGGGATCAGGAGGGAACAATACAGGGGGGGTCAGTAGGACACAATACTGGGATCAGGAGGGAACAATACGGGGGGGGACTCAGGAGGGCACAATACTGGGATGAGGAGGGCACAATACTGGGATCAGGAGGAAACAATACAGGGGGGTCAGGAGGGCACAATACTGGGATCAGGAAGGCGCAATACTGGGATCAGGAGGGCACAGTACAGGGGGAGTCAGGAGGGCACAATATGGGAGGGGGGTTAGGAGGCCACAATACTGGGATCAGGAGAGCACAATATTGGGATCAGGAGGGAACAGTACTGGGATCAGGAGGGCACAGTACAGGGGAAGTCAGGAGGGCACAGTACTGGGATCAGGAGAGCACAATACTGGGATCAGGAAAGCACAGTACAGGGGGAGTCGGGGGGGGGGGGGCACAATACTGGGATCAGGAGGGCACAGTCCAGGGGTAGACAGGAGGGCACAATACTGGGATCAGGAGGGCACAATACAGGGGGGTCAGGAGGGCACAGTACAGGGGGAGACAGGAGGGCACAATACTGGGATCAGGAAGAACACAGTACAGGGGGGTCAGGAGGGCACAATACTGGGATCAGGAGGGCACAATACAGTACAGGGGAGTCAGGAGGGCACAATACTGGGGGGAGTCAGGAGGGCACAATACTGGGGTCAGGAGAGCAAAATACAGGGATCAGGAGGGAACAATACTGGGGTGAGGAGGGCAAAGTACAGGGGGAGTCAGGAGGGCACAATACTGGGATCAGGAGGGCACAATACTGGGATCAGGAGAGCACAGTACAGGGGGTGTCAGGGGCACAATACTGGGATCAGGAGGGCACAGTACAGGGGGAGTCAGGAGGGAACAATACTGGGATTAGGAGAGCACAGTACAGGGGGAGTCCAAAAGGGCACAATACTGGGATCAAGAGAGCACAATATTGGGATCAGGAGGGAACAGTACTGCGATCAGGAGGGCACAGTACTGGGATCAGGAGGGCACAAAGACTGCGGTGTCACTGAGAGCCCCGGGTCCCATTCTAACGATCGGGGACTGGGACTCCCAATTCCAGGTCACATGATCGCTGTGATAGTCTCTGATTGGCTATCACAGTGATCAGTCACTGTACAACCCGGCTCCCTTGTTTTTTTTTTTTCTCTATGATTGGAGGAGAGAGATATTGTATCTTTCTAACTCCAGGCATAGAGGGGAAAAAATGTTTGTAAAAAAAAAAAAAAAAAAAAAAAAAGATAAATAAATATTAAGAAATAAAATAAAAAATAAAGAAAAATACCTAGATCAAGGTTTGGGCCAGGGTAAGTGTTTGGGTCAAGGTCAGGGTCAAAGGTCTGGATTTAAAAAAAAAAATTGTATCAGTGTCAGTTAGTGTCAGTGTGTTTTAGGTAAAAAAAAAACAAAATGCGCACTATTGTTTCTGCGCTGTACTACGGGTACAAACAAATAACATACACATATATGGTATCGCTGCAGTTATCAAGAGTTGGAGAATTTATTTTGGGTTGTTCTTTGCTGGTAGGTTATGGTAGTAACAAGAAACACACAGCCTCTGTTTGGCTATCGCAGTGATCAGTCACTGTATAGCACGCCCCCCTTGTTTTTTTTTTTTCCTCTATGAATGGAGGAGAGAGATGCATTGTATCTCTCTACTCCTGGCATAGAGGAAAAAAAATGTTTGTAAAAACAGGAAAAAAAATAGATAAATATATATTTAAACATAAAAGAAAAGATAAAGAAAAAATACCTAGATCAAGGTTTTATCTAGTTCAGTACCAGGGTAAGTGTTTGGGTCAAGGTCAGGGTCAAAGGTGAAGGTAAAAGGGCAGGATTTTATTTTATTATTACTATTAAACTGGTATCAGTGTGTTTTTAGGTAAGAAAAAAACAAAACAAAACAAAACGTGCATTCTTTCTTCTGGGCTGTACTATGGGTACAGACAACAAATAACATACACATATATGGTATTGCTGCGATCGTCAAGAGCTGGAAAATTTATATTGGGTTGTTTTTTGGTGGTAGCTTATGGTAGTAACAAGAAACACAGCTAAATAAATTTTTACTATTTTGGGCCAGATTTCCTTTGATAATAAAAAAAAATCAAGAGCTATCCATTACCATTTAGCACCAAATGAAAGCCCAATTTTTCCTGAAAAAAAACACGGTATAATCCAACTGGATGTATAAAGTAGTTGTGATGATATGTACGGTTTTACTAACACATATCAAAGTTGCAAAATTGTGCTTAGGCATTTAGATTTGTTTTAACTTTAGGCGTGAAGGGGTTAAATAACAAACAAATGAGACTATGTGGACAAGCCAGGTCAAAGCTCTCCTTTTTGCTTGCCTGGGGGGGTGGGTTGTTGATTGGACACAAGTCCAGTATATAACATACAGCTAGACTGCAAATATTGGTCTCGACCTAGCGCATGTGTCTATTCTGACCATTGACCACGATATATTATGGAGGGACCCGTGGGGGAAACAACATCTTTAGTTAAGTATTCTTGTTATATTTTCTTTTTCTTTATCTGTATCTGTCATTACTTGTAAAAATGTTTTACTTATAAGTAGTTGTGTGATCTTTCTTTGCACATATCAAATACAACCCCAAAACCCTAACAAAACATGGTGGTAATGCGCTAGGTATTTGCGCCCTCCTGTGTGTTACATAGTTAGTCTGGCTGAAAAAGACAAAACTCCATCCAGTTAAAAAAAAAAAATAAAATCCTATACCCACGGTTAATCCAGAGGAAGGCAAAAAAAAACCTAATTGCTCCTGCAAATAAAACCGCATTTCAACATGCAGTATATATGTATAAATATTTATTGAAATTTATTTTTAAATATATTGAATATGGCCAAAATTGTAGCATTTCAAATATATGTCAATATATTTGGGAAGAATATTTTTAAAATATATTTCAAATATATTTTTCTTCCATATGGGAGAGCTGTGCAATCCCAGGACTGAATAAGCAGACGTAAATATTATTTGGTAGGTTGGTTTACGCTTTGAATTAAGCTTTATAAGTCAAAATGTTTACTTTAAAGAATCTTCTTCATACTTACTCTTGCTTACAGAGAGATATGGAGACGATCCCAAGAAAGAAAAGGAGTAACAGGGATTTCTCCAAGGTGAACATCTTTGCGCTCTGTGGATAGTTTGGATTCATGGGAAGAAAAAGAAGACAAAAACTGAAAAGATGATTCAAAATCAATGAGACCCCCTATATGAGGCGCACATATTTGTTAATTAATTAAAAATGTAAAAATAAAACCAGTGTGGGGTCCCTTCCGAAATCCATATCAGACCATTATCCAAGCATGGCCTAGTATGGATTTTAAGGGTAACCCCACGCTAAAATTAAAAAATAAAAACAGCGTGGGGTCCCCTCCAAAATCCATACCAGACCATTATCCAAGCATGGCCTAGTATGGATTAAAGGGGAACCCCATGCCACAATTAAAAAATAAAACCAATGTGGGGTCCCCTCCGAAATCCATATCAGACCATTATCCAAGCATAGCCTAGTATGGATTTTAAGGGGAACCCCACGCTAAAATGTAAAAATAAAACCAGCGTGGGGTCACTTCCGAAATCCATACCAGACCCTTATCCAAGCATGTACCCTGGCAGGTCAGGAAAAGGGGTAGAGGAGCAAGTGCCCCCACTTCCTGAACCATACCAGGTCACATGCCCTCAACATGTGGGGTACTTTGAGGTGGGGGGGCCCCCCCAAGCACCTTGTCCCCATGTTGATGAAGACAAGGGTCTCTTACCCACCGCCCTGTGTGGTGGTTGTGATGGTCAGGAATCTGGAAGGCTTCTTTAACAACAAGGGGGCCTCCAGATCCCAGCCCCCCCATGTGAATGTGTATGGGGTACATTGTACCCCTACTCATATACTAAACAATTTTTAGAAATAAATATAAACACAGAGATAGTTTTTGACAAGTCGTTTATTT